GTCGTGGTGATCCAATAGTTGAGACAGACAGGAGCGACCTGTTCTAAACCCATGTTGCCCTGGGTTGCGTAATTTATGGGTTTCTAAACGATTTCTTGAGTTATGGGTTTCTAGATGGGTGGTGATCTTGCTTCTTAGGACCCTTTCAAAAATTTTTATGATATGGGATGTTAGTGCTATCGGTCTGTAGTTCTTTGCTGTTGCTTTACTGCCCCCTTTGTGGAGTGTGGCTATGTCTGTTGTTTTTAGTAACTGTGGGACGACCCCTGTGTCCAGTCCAGGGACTGGACTCCAAAGTTTTGATAGCTGAGCAAGTTACAGAGGTAATGAACTCACAATTTACAAAGGTAATGAACTCACAATTTACAAAGGTAATGAACTCACAATTTACAAAGGTAATGAACTCCAGGTAAGTCTGGTCACAATCATGACAAGTTACAAAGGTATTTACAGATTACAGAGGTACGTAATGGGTCCAGGGACTGGGCCCCCAAAGTTTTGATAGCTGAACTAGGTACAAAGGTAATGAGCTCACAAGTTACAAAGGTAATGAATTCTGTAGAATGGTTACTTACGTTTATACTTTGGCTACAATCATGAACAAATTATAGAGTAATGAGCAATTCACACTTCCACACCCGGTCACAACTGTAATGAATTATTGTGCAAATATTGATTGTTGAGTCACACACACCACACACACACACACACACACACACACACACACACACACACACACACACACACACACACACACACACACACACACACTTTAGTTTAATATCTTTATGCACCCATACCCATCCTGTGGGCGGTAGTCAAAAGATTACAAAGGTACATAATGGGTCCAGTGACTGGACCCCAAAGTTATGATAGCTGAACTAGTTACAAAGGTAATGAACTCCACGTAGATCTGGTCACTAATCATGGCAAGTTACAGAGGTAATGAATCAGCTTCACTCCTATACATGGTTACAGTCATGAACAAATTACAAGTAATGAACCACTGATACGTCCACACCTGGTCACAATTGTAATGAGTTATAAATACAAATATTAAGTGGATCATACACCCACACTAGCGCGCGCGCGCACATACACACACGAGGGCGCATGCACGGACATGTGCACACGAGCGTACAAATATATGCATACACACAAGGACGCACACCCACACACACACACCCACACACACACACACCAACACCCACACACACACACCCTCACACACACCCACACACACACCCTCACACACACCCACACACACACACCCACACACACACACACACCCACACACCCACACACGCACACACACACCCACACACGCACACACACACACACACACACACGCACACACACACACACACCCTCACACACACCCACAACACACACACCCTCACACACACCCACACACACGCACGCACCACACACACACACACACACACACCACACACACACACACACACACACACACACACCACCCTCACACACACCCACACACACACACAACACACACACACACACACACACTCACACACACACACACACACCAACACACACACACACACATGCACACATGCACAGTTGTGGTAATGCTTTATTTACAGCTAGCAAAGTCAGGGTATTTCTCCAGAATGGTCTGCAATAACCACTGTGGATAAAATACTTAGCCATTTCTTGAACACTTCTGAGTGAGTTGTTTCTAAATTCATTAATTTTATCACACTCCAGTACATAATGACGCAAGGTGTGACAATAATCCATCTGGCAAAGTTTACATTTCGTTTGGTCTACATCTGGTGGTGGTGATTTAACCTGCCAAAGATACTTGTAACCCAGCCGGAGCGGGCAGTAGTGACATCCAAGAGTCTGCTTATTTTGTTGGATGCACCATAGACATGTGGCTCCTCCTGCATGATGGAATGATGATAGATGGACTGACTTGTGTCAATCTCCCTAAGTCTTAAGTCAATAAAGTCATTTGAAGTTCTTTTCGTATTATTGTTCTCAAACTGCTAACTGACAACCCAAGATTGTAATCTACCCCCTCTTTGAAAGCATACAGCTTAGCCAATTATCAGTTCTATCATGCATCTGAAGACCAATGTGAGATGGAATCCACAGCATGTGCACTCTGACTCCACTGTCCACAATCTTACCATATCTATGTCTGGCTTCTGACACAAGCATGCCACAATTTATACTTAATGAGTTGAGAGCATTTATGGATGACAGTGAATACAGTTACAATTAAAGTGTCAACCTTAGATACATGGACACATTTGAGTGCAAGGAGTATGGCAAACAGTTCTGTTGAAGGGTAGAGGCCCAGTTATTGATGCGTGCTCCAATTCTTTATGAGAGCCATCACTCTGTGTGACAACAGCAGCACTACCAGCTGCACCAGTGGACGTGAAACAGAACCATCGACGTAAATAATTTGTGAAAGATTGTTCTGTGTGACTAAGTTATCAATAACAGCTTAAGGCATCATGTTGGCTTCAAGACGAAGCTTGGTTGTACTGATTTAAGAAGAGTTTTGGGGGAAATGGAGAAATGGTAGTTTGGAATGGGGTAATATCCCATGGAGCAGGGAAATGTCTCTGTTGTCCAACTTGATATAGATCATGTAGCTGGTCATTGGAGGTCGGTTCCAGTTTTTTCGATCCATCTGGAAGGATGTTCACCAGTGCTGAGAAAGTTTGGAGGGCTTCTGTCAGGGGTTTGAATGGGCTAGCCTAAGCATATTGACCCCAATAAGGATATTTCTTTCAGTAACACGACTCTTAATGCTTGGAATATTAAGTTCTTTCCGCATATTTAAAATTTTGGCAGTACGAGGGCATCCTAGGATGATCCTCATTGCTTCGTTTTGCAGTTTTTCCAGCCCTCCAAGCTTCCAGTCAGACACGAGTGCAAGTAGTGGCGCTGCATAATCAACAAATGATCTAATATAAGCAAGATACATCATTTTCACAATTTTAACATTAGCACCATACCTGGGATGAAAACCTGCCACAACTCTAAGTGCTCTCAGCCTTTCTTTGTATTGGCGACAAAGTCTCGTTACAACAGGTCCAAGTAGTGGAACCTCAAAGCCTAGTGAGGGTCATGACTTCAAGAACTGCACTACTGCCTCACCACCCAAATGCTTAAACTGCAAGAATGGCCACCATACTCTTGCCGCCAGATGCCCTACCAGAAGAGACATACTCAAGAAACAACAACAACAACAAAAGAAGCCCAACTCGCAAGAATCCACATACTCTGTTATCACCAAGCTTCAAGCAGATACCACCAAAATCCTACAAGCCACGCAAGCTGCTCCCACCACTTCCCTGCCAGCACCTACTGCCGACTCCACCAAGATTCTTTACTGCATCATGTATGCTCATGTACAGAATGTGTCTAATTTATCAACTTGTCGGTTCTTTGAACCACCTTGATAATAGACTCAAATTTCAAACACGTATACAACAAATTTCAACGAAAATTTCCAAGACCGTAGGCATCCTATCGAAGATACGGTACTATGTTCCACAGTCAGCCCTCCTGGCCCTATATCACTCACTTATTTACCCCTATCTCACCTTTGAAATTTGTGCATGGGGCTCAACAACAATAAACCATCTCAGACCATTAATTACCCAACAAAAGGCTGCAATCAGAATAACAAATTCCCACTACAGGCAGCACACTCCACCAATATTCAAAACTCTAAACCTACTCACCATACAAAACATCCATACTTATTATTGTACCTACTACATACATAGAACACTTAACTCTGATATAAACCCTCCCCTCAAACGTCTCCTTACCAACCTCAACAGAACACATGATCATAACACAAGGCACAGATCACTCTTTGATATTCCTCGTGTCCATCTCACACTATGCAAAAACTCAATGCACATAAAAGGCCCAAAAATCTGGAATTCATTACCTGTGAATATAAAAGAAACACTGTCTGTTTATAAATTCAAGTCTCTACTTAAAAATCACTTACTCACCCACAACTAAATAAATGTTTAACTTGTGACCCAATCAAACTTTGTTATTTTAATTACATTACCTAACAGAATACTCCATTCTACTGAATGTACAGCAACACAGTAAATGACCATATGACCTGTCTTTAAAATACTCATTTGTGCCTAATTGTTATCTGTTTACAATAATGTTTACGATGAATATATCATTGCTTAGTTTAATCTTAAGTTAATTTTAAGCCTGTACATAATGCTCTGCATACAAGGGGCTTTGGCATGTTACACTTAACCACTGTATTTTTTGTACTTCAGTGTATCATGTTAAAATAAATAAATAAATAAATAAATAAATTTATCTACATTACTGTCGGCCACAGCAATATCTTGGGATCTTGATACAGGGAATTCTACGCTTGCCTAACCTATAAGCAGGACCTACTTTCCACTTGTGGATTTGTCCCAGGCGACACCGCCTACGACTGCTTCGTCTCAGCTGTCTGTAGTATACAAGCTTCTTTCTCGTGCATATGCTGTATTCTTTTCAAGGCTGATGGACTGATTACATCGACTCCAGGCTGAGGGGCTGATTACCTTAATCTGCTTCTGATAAGATAAAATTTTCAACCCCGGAGGGTTAGCCACCCAGGATAACCCAAGAACCTCAGTGCGTCATCGAGGACTGTCTAACTTATTTCCATTGTGGGCCTCAATCTTGTCCCCCCAGGATGCGACTCACGCCAGTCGATTAACACCCAGGTACCTATTTTACTAATAGGTGAACATAGACAGTAGGTGCCTTAAGGAAATATGATCTAATGTTTTTCCCCCCGTACCGGGCATCGGCCCAAGTTTTTAATACATACATTAGCGTCGTTAAAGAATTATCTCAGCACATATACACGAGAGATATATGTACCTGGTATATACCCAGTTGAAAAGGAGCGGCAGGCATGATAGGGATAGACTGCTTCAGCTACAAACAGCTCAAGCAGCACACCCTGGCTACTGAGATCCCTGTTCATATATTCGATAAGTTCAAGCGTAACTCGCATGTAAATTCACCAGGAAGCTGGAAATAAGAGACGACTGCACGTGTAATCATGAACTTCAATGAGAAAGTGACGCCTGTTGTCTTTTATACCCGTAGATCCAACGCTCCAGGCGCACATCTGCTTCACATACAAGTTCGCATCATTAGTTTCAAATTCCTTCCGAAGTTTGGGTTCATCCATCTCGAGAAGAGGGAGACACAAAGTGAACAACCTCTCACAGTTTGTACCGTCCAGCCAGTGTTGCTTCAGCCACTGCCAGACTACACTCTCAATACTCCTCTCCCAGCCATTTTGTTTTCGCATCTTTCAAGTGAAAAATTCATTAATTTTACCATGGAGAGCAAAAATAGCATCTATAATTATTTGAGGAACTTAAGAAACGTACGGTCCAGGCAGACTATATACAAATGGGTTAGTTTCGTTACAAGTGTTGGCTCCCCTCTTCACCTTATCTATATTTACTGCATAATGTAATTCAACAGTTTTTTTTATAAGAAAAGCAAAATATCGACGTAACCAAATGTAGTATTGATGTCAGCAGGTTTATTTTCGTTCTTCCTCATTATTGTCATTGTTGTCAGCTAGGACTGTATACCTTGTACATGTCCTTGTAGTAAATAAAGATATTATTATTATTATATTATTATTTAAGTAAATTACTTAAACGTGATTTTTTTTAAGACAATTCTCACGCGTGTTCAACAAAGGTCTAAATGTTTCATTCATAATAAGTGTACCAAAAATCTTTTATACAAATACCCAAATTTTACCTCATTTAAAAAAAATTCAATGTAAGTATAACAATGTGATGAATTAAGAGAGCAGTTCATTTATTGTCCAGCCTATATGGGGGAAAAAATAAACTTTATATGACTGAAATTCTTTACCTAGATAACCAACTTATTGTTTAATATTAAATATAATACTGTTTCATCAATTTTATTAGTAATTAACAAGAGAAGTTAACCTAACATTACCTGACACTTAATTAACCTACACCGTGGACATTGTCGTGAGTTTATTTAGGCACAGGTAAAACAGTGCAATTATCATTCCTAGTTTAAATTATCTAGGATAACTAAAAACAAGTCAATTATATTCCTTGGCATCACATTAAAATAATGAATCCTGTGATACTCCAATACTGAAACTATGTACTGTGCCAAAACAAAAGCATTCACATTGCTAAACTCACAAACTAGTATTTAGTCACTTAGCCATAATGCCAACTTACCTCATAATTTGTAATATTTTACAATTAAGAATAAAACTAAGTATGCCCGAAATGCCTAGCCATGCTAAGCGTTCTAGTGGTACACTCTGTAATCACAATTTTACTACATGTAAACCAAACAATAACCAAATTTCTGTAAACTCAGCATTGTAATCCTTATAGAGAATAAACTTTGAATTTGAATTTGAACATAGGTTTTACACAGCAGTTTTTATTTTTTTCAGTGATAAGTCCCATAGTTGTACAGCTCATTTTGGACAGACTTGGGATTAAGTACACAATAAACTAGTTATATAAACAAAAGGTATATTACATGTTCGCGAGAATTCAATGAATTTTGTTAGTGATGTACAGTAATTTAAGATAAATCTTATGATAATGGTATGATGCGCTCTGGTCTTTGTTCAGAGGACTTGGCAAGTGTTCTTGAATGTTGAATTTTATTCATACTAGAGAGTGGGCAACCCTCTCGCCTCATACTGAGTGTCCGTGGTTCGATACCCGGCCGGGTAGAAACACTGAACTTGTTTCCTTACACCTACTGTCCCCGTTCACCTGGCAAGTAGGTACCTAGTTGTTAGTCGACTAGTGTGGGTCGCATCCTGGGGGATAAGATTAAAGGACCCTAATGGAACTAAGACACAGTCCTCGATGACGTATTGCCTTTCTTGGGTTATCCTGGATGGCTAACCCTCCGGGGTTAAAATCCGAACAAAATCTTAACGCTAAGTAAGTTTATTCGGGTATACACAAATACAGTTACATAGATTATCATACATAGCAGCATATGTGTAGAGAACCCAGGATTACCCAAAAAAGTCAAGGTCCGGGAGAGTACCGGCGAATAAAAAAAAAAAAAAAAAAAAAATTATTTCCATTGGGGTGGGTGATAATTGTTAGGCTAGGCATTACACATGTGCAACACCTGGTGTAGCTATTTTTGAAGAAGTTTCGACAGTGTTTGCCAAAAAAAATCTTCAAATAAAGATACCCAGGTGCTGTGAGTGTTTCACTTCCTGTTATCGTACATCATTATTTTAATGCTTGTGTGTTAGCGTTTCTCGGCGCCAGAGATAAGAACTTCAAATTCTGATTTTCCAATGTTTGTTCCTAAAGCTGGTTCGTATAAATGAATAAACCCCTTTATATATTTTTTATATATGCAATTGCTCTCGACTATGATCTAATTTCAGTTACTAAAATATATAAGATTAATTTTAAAACACTCTACTTCTGTAGTTGTTGGAATCCTGATTGTTTACAAAAATGTACAAATTTATTCATTTCATATTTTTTTATTATAATTAACTTCTCTTGAGATAAATAAGGGAAAGTTTCATATATTAATGTAGGTATACTCTGCCTTATGTAATATTTAATAACTGAATTATCAAGGAAGTATAATGATGTTTAATTAAAAGTTTGAGAGAGTTGTGTAGTGTGAGCGGCGCGGTGCAGCATGGTGTAGTAACCGACCCATACAACACATGAATTATGTATCCTACATGAAAACCTCTTCCAACATACTCTATTTTATGTCTGAGTCTTAGCCAATATGGCTAGGAAGAAGGTAAGACCTCGTACAGTAAGTATAGCTTAAGTTCAGGAGCACCAGTTGCTGTTTATGGTAGTTATTAATATAAAATTTTACGCAGATTTTGCTTGGCATGTATGAAGCATGTTTTATGTCTGTATCTGAAGAATAATGTATATACCGAGAAGTTTCTCATTGTATGTATACGGAGAATTTGCTTTAATCTCTGTTTTAGAGAATAAATTATATTTGGCTGGTGAAGAACTAGTCACAGCTGGCCTGAAATAACCCTAGTTTAGTTGTTAGGTTTTAATACCAGTTAAGCAAGGAGTCTGGCTTGTGGCTCAAGTGGTAGTAACTTAACTTTATATCTGAAGGACCTGGGTTTGATCCCAGCACTGCTGGAAATATTGGTCATTGTTTCTAAACGCCTATTGCCTTTGTTCACCTAGCAGTAATTTAGGTATCTGGGTACTGTCACTTGTTTGTGGTTACAGGGGTCGATTCGCAGCTCCTGGGTATTAGCAGTCTTGGTAGTCACATCGTGGGGAAAGAATATCCGAGTACCCCACTGGAAATAAATTTTTTGAATTTTTAACCCAGAGGGACAGTTGCCCAGGATAACTTAATAAGGGTCATGTCAGTGGAAACTCTTATTTCCACAGGGGTCCTTTAATCCTCTTCCCCAGGGTGTGATCCACAACAGTACTAACATCCAGGTACCTACTTTGCTTTGTGATCAAAGGCATCAGGTGTGAGGAAAAGCCTCGACCTTTCACCCGTGTTGGGAGTGATCCTTGATCCCATAGTGTGAGAGCTGAGGGCACTACCAACTGAACTATGTACCAGACATAGTCTGGCACTGAATCTGCACTCTAGAAAGACACAGAATTGTGGGGGGGGGATGTGATTGAGGTGAATAAATGGAAGACAGGAATATGCTAAAATTATATAACCGTGACAGAGCAGTGGGTTAAAGTTGAAAAAATTTAGATAGGAAAACACTGGTTACTCGTCAATCCTAACCAACCTGATAAGAAGGGCTAAAAAACTGCATTATGAGAACAGATTATCCAACTTACGAGGTGATATAAAAAAGACCTGGAAAACCCTATCAGCAATTCTAGGAACAAAAAAGATATCACGAAATAGCGAAATTGAATTAACAAAACCAGATGAACCCCAACTCCCACCAACTGAAACAGTGAACAGACTCGATAATTTCTTCTCCACTATAGAAAAAAACCTTGCCAATAAAATCCCAAGCTCAGATACCCCACCCAATGACTACCTCGCTGGCAACTACCCGAACACACTGTTCCTAGCTCCGACTAACCCTACTGAAGTCCCCCTTGTTATAACACACTAACAAGACAGGAGATTTAAATACCTTACCACCCTTTATATACCAAAAAGCATCACAAGTACTATCACCAATCATTACAACACTCTTTAACAAATCCATAGAATCCTCTACCTTCCCTACAGTTCTCAAAATAGCAAGGGTCACCCCGATCCATAAAGGAGTAGACCAAACAGACTTGAATAACTATAGGCCAATATCCAACTTACACCCTCTCTCTAAAATCTTCGAAAAATTTATTCATAAGCGAATCTATTCCTACCTCATCTCCCACAACATACTCAACCCCTGTCAATTTGGGTTCAGGCCTAATAAAAATACTAATGGTGCTATTATACACATGCTAGAACACACACACACACACACACACACACACACACACACACACACACTGCAATAGAGAAAAAAGAAGTCCCACTGGGGATCTTCATAGACTTACGTAAAGCTTTTGATACAGTTGACACACACACACACACACACACACACACACACACTGCAATAGAGAAAAAAGAAGTCCCACTGGGGATCTTCATAGACTTACGTAAAGCTTTTGATACAGTTGACCATGACTTGCTCCATATAAAATTGTCGCACTATGGTATAAGAGGGCACTCCCTCAACTACCTAAAGTCTTAAGTCTTAACTCAGTAACAGAAGCCAATATGTGTACACAAATGGGGCAAACTCTTCAGCACAGCCAATTACAGTTGGTGTCCCACAGGGAAGTGTCATAGGCCCTCTTCTCTTTCTCATATACATAAACGACCTACCAAATGCATCGCAACTACTCAAACCCACACTATTTTCAGATGACACTACATACGTCTTCTCTCACCCGAGCCCAGTCACTCTAGCCAATACTGTAAATACCGAATTACAGAAAATATCTACCTGGATGAGTACTAACAAACTTACTCTAAACATTGACAAAACCTACTTCATTCGGTTTGGTAACAGAGCTACAGACGTCCCTCTTAACATAAAGATAAACGGATCACCTATCACAAAACTCAGAGGGAAAATTCTTAGGAATCCACCTTGATAATACTCAAATTTCAAATACGTATACAACAAATTTCCAAAAAAATTTCCAAGACCATAGGCATACTATCAAAGATATGGTACTAGTTCCACAGTCAGCCCTCCTGGCCCTATATTGCTCAGTTATTTACCCCTATCTCGCCTATGGAATTTGTGCATGGGGCTCAACAACAATAAGCCATCTCAGACCATTAATTACCCAACAAAAGGCTGCAGTCAGAATGATGATAAATTCCCAC